TTTAGAAATTAACTATTTTTATAGCATTCTTGATATGATGATTGTGTTCCAGTCCTAAACTACCAAGGATGAGAACTGGACAAAAAGACACAGCTCTGCTGTCAGTGGACAAAGTCTCCAAGAGTTTGACTATTTGGGAATGCAAGAGCATAATCTCCCTGACACAAATGAGCTGCCCCCCCAAAAAAGTGAAAAGAAACCCCAAAACCACCAACACTTCTAAAGTCACAGCTTGCTTATTCCCAGATGACCATCTCTGCTTCAATATCCAGCTCTATTCCATCAAATAAAGGACTTTGTTACCTGCAAGGTTCAGATTTCTGATATCACAGTTGAGCTGCTCGGGTTTGAGAAGCTTTAATGTGACCACTGAAAATGAAGAGTTGGTAACTGTTCTCAGGGTTCCCCTCTCTGAAAAACCCTCCAGCTGTGAACTCCCTATTCCTCTGGAAGCCTTGAAACACTATTACTGCTTTATTTGGTTTTGAGACATGTCTTAAAAAATAATATGCTCTCAGATTCAAATGTTAGCTGGGATTGGATATTTCCAACAGCTCTCAATTCAGGGAAAAACCTGTTTGATCCTGGAGGTAACAGCATCTCTGCCAGCACCTGTATGTTACCAAGCCAGGCACTGCTCAGTACCAGTCAGAGCCTGTCACTGTTCCCACCAAAAACAACAGAAATGTCACCAAGGCACACAAGTTGTTTGGCTGCTATCACTGCATTTACACTGCTCTCTGTAATTGTATATAATTCTGAATATGAAAGAAGAGATGGAATTGTACAACTGGTTGATTTTGTGCAGGAAGTGGCATTACTGAACTGATGATCTAATCAGACTCCACCCAACTTATCCAAATCTATTTTTGGTACAGTAACAAAGGGCCTTCTGACCTCCAGAAATAAAACCTTCTCTTCACCATGGTAAGTTAAAGAGTAGTTGTTACAAAATTATGAAAAGCAAAGAAAAGTTACTCTGGGGAGGAAGATTTCTGCTTTCCTTAGGGAGAGCTGCCATAAACTTTTCCCTAGTGGTCCTACCTGGAGAGCAGCAAGTTGCAGGTTTCCTGCCAGCAACATGGGGGTGTTTGCATCAAAGATACTCCTATGAGCTAAAATTCTAACTTCCACTGCATCAGCTGCATCTTAAATTTCATCCTGATAGAATAAAAAGAGCTTTGGAAGCTCTCCTGTTTGCACAGGAAAAAAGGTAAGTAAAGTTATCAGACAATTAGTGAAAATAGTGCTGTGCATTTTGCACCTGAGCAAGACAGTTCTAACCTAAAACACACCGGCTTTGCAGACAGAGAAACTCACTCCATGGGACTGAAAATTGAAGATTATGTGTTGCTGGTTAGTAAATGCTCAGTGTTTATAAGCTCCTGATACACTTCCCAGTGTCCCAGAGTTTTGTGACAATCCATAGGTTGAAGTGCAGAGCTTTGGTTTATTTTCTTTGAATCTAGGTCAGCCCTCTGCCTTTCCCAGTCTGTTTACAGTCTGAGGAATAACAGCCCAAACAGTACCAGCTGACTGGGATGAAGGAAACACAGCACCTCGGGGTAACTAAATTGTCTTTTTCCTCATATATAAGTTTATTAGATCATGCTGCATAAAACAACATGCTGAGTATATTCTGAAAATTACTGGCTATTAAAAATTGATGTTTTCACCCTGGATACAAGGACTAAAACAACCTTAGACCTAAACTGTAGAAGACAAGGCATGAAAAGGCTGTTTTGGAACAGGCTTACAATAACAGTTCTTCACACATTTCAGATCCTGAACCTGATGGTTTGCTGTTACCACCTAACAAGTTTTAGATGGTCTGGACTAACCTGTGGTTTCAGACTAACAAATAATATACATGAGACAAGGATACAAAGCAGCACTGACACTAGAACTGACAAGTTCTACTGATTTGTGAAACAAATCTCTCCCTTCTGTTTGCTGCAAGTCCACCAAAAACACAATACAGAGACCTCACAACCTCTGATGTGTGCCACTGCTATATTTAAATTTACATTTTAAATTCCCACTTGGACACGTTGCTGTCAAAACAAAGCACCTGTTACACCTGTGCTGAAACCACTGCACGGAACCAGTTCAGCACCCAGGTAAATGAGGTAAATTAGGCACATATTCTAAAGAGGAATTAAACTGTGTATTCAAATGCACAAATACATTCCTAAACAGCCACACAAAACTAACCAAGTGCAACCTCAGTGAGTGAGCTCCTTCTGCACAGTGGCAGCTCCCTGAAGATTCCTCTCTGGAGAAGCCACAGAGAATCTCTCCAGGCAGCACAGACAGAGCCACCCTGCACTATAAAACTGCATAAGCTGCACTATAAATATATATATATATGGGGCATTCAGTACTTAGGAAAGCTTTGTCAGCAGCACCACATTCTCAGCATAATTAGCCAATTTTACTAATAACACTTGGTAATTACTCTCTATTCTTTCCCCGTGAGGAACTTAAGCTCACTTTGCAAACTACCAGAGCAGAACCTCCTCGCTGCCGCGAGCAGCGGTGAGCAGCTGTGTCTCCGCAAGCCTCGCCGATGATTTGGGCGCCTCAGTGAGAACTTAAGGACGTGATTTTGGGAGCAGACGAGAAAACCCGGCCCCACGGTACCTCCGGCATGCACACGTACGTGCTGGTTATCCAAGGTCATACAGCGAGGGAAAGGCAGGAAAAGGGGATGTGGGGTCCCTGGGCACAAATCCACAGCGTAAATATATGTACATATATATAGAACCGGCTGGAGAATGTCAGGCCGCTGATTTCCAAAGGCAGTAAACAGGAAAGATGCGAGTTGGGTTTTCATCAGGGGAAAAAAAAAAAAGAAAAGGAGAAAAAAAGGGAGGCGGGGAAGGAAAAAGGAGATAAGAAAAGGGAATAATAAAGGGAAAAAGCAGGGGGAAAAAAAAAAAAAGGAAAATAACTTTGAACAGGCCAAATTCTTGTCAGACGCCGGTCAAGGAACCTCCTCCCCACGGTGTCATCTCCAGGGGCGTCCAAGCCGCACAGCTCCGCGAACTGCCCGGCTCGGGGAGCCAAGGGACAGCTCCGAGCGGTCCTGGAGCCCCGACCCCCGCCCGCCCCTCAGGGCCGGCGCTGCTCTGCCCCGCAGCGCCCGGGCCGGGCTGAGCCCCGCGGCACTGATGTGACAGCCCAGCCGGCGGCCCCCGCCCCGCCCGGGCCCTGCCTCACTCACGTTCTCCCACCAGCAGGATCCGCACGTCCTTCTTCATGTCCGCGCTCGTTGCCCGGCCCGGGCCGCTCACCTCGGGCGGGGCGGCGGCGCCGCTGGGCCTCGGCTGCCCGGGCTCCCCTCACGGAGCTACGGCGGCTCGCGAGGGACCCGCGGCGGCGGCTGCGCGGCGGCTGCGCGGGGCGGGGGCGGCCGCCCCTCAGGGCCCCGCGGGGACCGCGGGAGGGGAGAGGCGGCTGCGGCCGGGGCTGCGCTCACCCGGCGGGGTCTGTGAGGGTTCTGTGTGCTGGTTCCTCCCGGGGCAGCGCTCCCTGGCTCGGTCTGTGGGGGATCCGTGTGCTGGTTCCTCTCGGGGCAGCGCTGCCCCGGCTCGGTCTGTGCCCTCAGGGAGGTGCATGGTCCGTGTGCCGGTTCCCCCCGGTCTGTGCCCTCAGGGAGGGGAAGATGCCCTGTGTTGGTGCAGGAATCTGCTGTGAGGCGGAAGAAACTGCAACCACTTCTCCCTGGCACTCTGCAGTCGGATTTCCTGTTGTCTCTGTGAACTTAGAGGTTCACAAGGTGACAAGTGTCTCGTAAAATGCTCTTGGTGCAGCTGGCAGTGTTTGTTCAGTAAAACAGCCCAGCAAATAACTGTGCTCACTTTTAATTTTCTAAAGAGATTTCCTGCAGATGACAGGTTGTTCTCTGAACTGTGACACCTCGAACAGGATAAAAACATATCCTTTAAAAAAAAAAAAAACAGCAACCAAACAAACCCCAGAGGCTGTGGGCCTTCATACCACAGAATACAGTGATAAAAAAGTCTGATAAAGCAGCGCTGCCCTGGCTCGGTCCCCTCAGAGAGATGAGGGTCCTGGGTGCTGTGAGGGACAGCCCAGCGCTCGGAGCACATCAGGAATCACAGAACTGTAGCACCAGTTCAGTTGGAAAAGCCCTGTGGGATCATCAGGTCCAACCCTGTCAACCAGATCTTGGCACTTGGAGCCACATCCAGTCTCTGTCCTTGAGCACCTCCAGGGACAGTGACTGCACCACGTCCCTGGGCAGCCCCTTCCAATGTCTCATCACCCTTTCGGTGAAAAAATCCTTCCTGATATCCTGGGAGTGACACAAAGTGCTCCCATCTAGGCTGTGTGTTGTTATGTGTGTAATTACGTGTGTTGTTGGGATCCAAACCATAACAAATTGCTGCCCCCGGGCAGTGCAGTGCAACTTGTATGTGGGAAATTAGAGATGCCCCATGAGTTCATGCTGTCACTGTTGCTTTTCCAGGTGGACCAGGAGAGGACATCTCAACCCTAACGAGGCAGTGGCATTAGCTACACTGGGAGAGCTGCCCCAGCCTTGGAAAAGCTGATACACATGCCTTTGGGATCTTACTAATGTGCATTCTGCCCAAAGTGCTCTCAGAGTGTTCAGTGACAGCACAGAGTAACCCTCAAGATGTCCAGCAGTTCTGTCAATGGCTTTAAAGCCATGGAGCTCCCCATTCCACTAAATGAGACAGTTGAATCCCACATGCTTTATTCACATTAAACTACTCATTTTGTTCATTCCGTAATGCCTCGTCTCCCTAAAAGAGCTTTTGCTTCTTGGGAATGCTGTTTTCAGTTTGCCTGCATGAAGCAGTGGATCTCTCAGAAATCCAGCTGTCAGTAGGTTTTCCAGGACCCCACAGGGACAACTGAGAACCTCTTGCCTTGTCTCAGGCTCCCTGGCAAGAAAAGATGGTCCTTTCCATGACACAGTCATGTTTGCTGGCCCCTTAAAAGAGCAATAAAGTGACTGCATGATTTATTAGCTGGTATAAACATATCTGAGCATCTGCTTCCCCAACCATTCCTGTTGCCACACCACCACCAGGACTGAAAAAAACCCTTTGGTGGGGGCAAGACTAAAATACAGTGCCAGTGAGATGATCTTCTGGGACCTAAAGTGGCAGGTCCTCAAATACAAAGCCTATTTCCTGTAGTTTAGTGTCTAAAGAGAAAGATTTTCATGCCTGAAACCAGTAACATTCTTGCCCTCTGAGCATTCCTTACTCACTCAGATCTTTCCAAAGCAAGCTCACTTGACAGAAAGTAATGGCATCATCTGTTCTGTATTTTTTTAGATCAATGTAGGAAAAATGAGGTCCATGAGCAAGGCTTATCCCCAGCCTTAGAGCTTCCCTGGTGCATTCCTTCCCAGGAATATCCTGGGCCTACTTAAAGCTGCTTAAGAAATCCACCTGATCTCCACAGGGATGGTTCCTGCCTTCAGCAGACACTGGAATTGCTTTACTGAGGTCTGGCTGGACCAGAGCACAGCATTGAGAGAAGCAGAGCAGGCAAAAGCCAGTTGCTGATTCCCAGGAAATCCTGGGTAGCTCTGCATTCCTTGGTAAATTCCTGTGCTAAACACTGAAGCTTGGATAGAAACTCTGCAGTCATTGGCAAAATGGTCCCTTTTCAGAATAGGCTTTATCTCCTGTTTGGGTGGCTTAGAGTTAAAGATCCATTTCTTTCCAGGCTGTACAGCCAGAAGGCAGGATAGAGAGGATGGGAGGTGCTGAGTTCAAAGGTGTGCAAGAGAATTTCCCTGTCAGTGATGGAGTAGAAGGACACTGTCTGCTTTTGTAGCTCCAGGAAAACCCCAACCCTCAGCGGTTTATCCTTGTGTAACAATGTTTCTTGATCCTTGTGCCAGGCTGACAGCTGCTTTTTGGAACCCAGCCATTCCACGCACCAGGAATGCTCTGTTCTTCCCAATTTGTCCCTCTTCCCAATCATTTCATGAGCGACTCCAACAGCCCATCCATCACTGTCCTCAGTAATCACCTCCCAGTAGTGGCACCCCGTGGAGAAGCTCTGGGAACACATCACTTGGCTGATGCAGAATCTCTTGGGAGATGGTTCATACCAGGTGGGGTGGCTGGAAACCACCACTCTGCTGTTCTGGGCTGTGAGGGCCAAGCGCTCGTTTGCTCTCGTGTGGTCAAAAGTCACATCCTCTGCCCCTGGAAGGGAGAAAGGAAAATCTCCTCATCTGCAGGCAACAAGGTGGAACAGAAAGGAAACCCAACAATCACACAATAAACCTGAATCAAAGCTCAGTGCTGCAGGTCAGCAAGAATCCTCAACCCAACACTCACATCCTGGGCTCACTGAAACATTTAAAAGGCACAACTGTGGAAATATCCATGACAGATTCAGGCACTCCAGTGGGAAGGCACCTTGCACCCTACAGGATGGGTCCTCTTCCTAACCACAATCTTTTTAAAAAAATACCTTTTTGTCAGTAATAAGTGGGATGCTTACCTTAATAAAACTTAGAGTCACCTGTTCACTGGGACATGTTCCTGCATATTTTATCAGCAAAACATTTGTTTTCTGTTTTAAGCTCCAGCTGTAGTACTGTGTGTTGGCTGTAAAAATACTTCTGTCAAAATGGTGCAGAATTGAGATAATAACTGGAGTCATTACTGCTTAACAGTAAGGACCAGTGAGCTGCAGGACCTGCCTGTACAAAACTCAGACTGTGCAGCCAGCACCAGCCACCACCCAGCTCACACACCTCCATCAAACAGCTCACACACCTCCAAAAAACAGCTTTCTTATCTTTTTTTTTTTATCTTGTATACACAGCCAGGTACAGTGCTGCTTTGTGCTCAGTAACTGATTCGTTCCCAGCAACTTCACTGCCTTGCTGTGCTTCAGGGACACAGCCAGATCTCCTGCTCATGGCTCTGAGAACAGTTTTTCTTCAGCAAACAGTTTTTCACAGTCACCTGAGAGTTGTCAATAAGGGTCCTGTTGGATACTCACACTGAGAAAACTGGCTTGGAATCACCAGGTCTGGAATTTCAGCTGCAGACTCTGGGGGTGATGAGCAGACACTTGTCTCCTGATACGAGTCTGGAGGCTGCACTTATTAAAAAAAAAAAAAGAAGTGTTAAGGCATTTCTTCAAAATGTAAATAGGAAGTGTTTATACTTCTAAAGGAAAACACACCTTAAATAAACCCAGCTACTGGTTAAAGTACAAACCAAAGAGTTGATTTTTTAGGTTGTATAAATTGTCAGAGGATGTGTAGGCAAACATTTTTACCCAAAATAAACAGAACACTGTATGCTGCTGCCCTGAGTGTCAGAATGGAGCAGCCAGAAGAGTGAGATGGGTAAAGCAGTTGGATCTTTCTATGCAGATGCACCATTTTCTGTCATAAAAGTCTTTCAAGTGTTCTTAATTTTTTTTCTGAGTATCCCATGTTTCTTGTGTTACTTGCATGTGCATTTCATGAACACTGAGTAATTTTTTACTTCTTTTGCTACATCCACGCCCTCTAAGAAAGACATTTCAAAATAAGGGAAACTCACCTGGTGGGAATTGCTGAGGGTATTTCTCCAAAAGTAACATTTCCAACTTTCTCTTAAGATCTTCTACAGCCCATTTGACAACATTAAGTTTCTCATCAAGTGTAATTTTATTCATTATTGAAAGTGAGCCTTCATAAGGTAAGTTACTCTAATAACGACAAAAGGATTGAGAGGAAGATGTAAAGAACAGCAGTTATTTCATCTAGCAGACCAGATTATATTATAAAGGCAGAGTGGAAAAACAGCAGTGATCTCTCCAAAAATCTTATCCTTTGTATCAAGAGTTTCCTTTATAGGATAGTTACCTGAGAGAACTAAACTGAAATCTTAGAGAAAATAGGGAAGGATAGTTTATTCTTATTAAAAAATAAGAAGACCTTGTTTTCCCTCAGAAAACCGAGAGTGAGCCCCACTCCAAATTCCTGCTGGCTGACCTGCATCACTGGCACTGTTGTTTTTAACATCAAAGCAGGCTCTGCAGAACCTCAAGTGCTTTAACTGCCTCTTTTGAGGGCCCTTGATGTGTTTTCCCCAAGAAAGTTGTTACAAAACACTTAAAGCTCTGTGAGTTCTTTAACTTGCACACTTGGGTGTATATACGAATTCTGGAAGATAAAAAGGTTGTGAAGGATCTTAACTTTAGACTTGACTGAGGACTGGATTTAAGCAATGTAGTCCCCACTTCACTCCAGCTCACCAAGGCCCTTGGAACAAATCTGGTTTGGAACTGCATCCCCCAGCCTGTGCCCTTTTTTAGTACTATTCTCCCTCTGAATTCCTCACTCCAAACTCTCCCTGTAACAGCAATGTCCATGGATTGGCATCACTGTCTCCAGTGAGAACAGCACAGTGGGGACCTCAAAGTGCCCTGTTCATACTCAGCTATCCCAGACATTGAGCTTGAGAGTTTCCACTCATATTCTGCCACTCATTTCATCACTTACAGTTTGGGCTTTGCTGTCTGTGAGCTGGTGAATAGTCTCTTCAATCTTCTGTTGAGCAGCTTTTTGCTCTTGCTCAATGAACATCAATGTGCTTCTCTCTTGTCTTTCAACATATTCCTTCATGCAACAGAAATCTCGAGTAATCTGGCTTTTGATCTCAGATGTGTATTCCTGAAAGGCAGAAAACACAGAGTTCATTGTGTGGTTGGGAAAGATGTGTGGAATATGAGAATCTACTGCCCCATTTAATGTGCTCTTTGACTGACCCCTGCAGACCAGAAAACTTTATTCAAAGGAATAAAATACATTTGACACTATTCCTGCATTACCTGCAATGAGATTTTGGGCATGTTAAGGATCTTGACTATTTTATGGCCAGTGGATTCTGTTTGACAAGTCAGAAAGAATGAATATTCTCTCCTTGTGATATGTATTTTGCATCTAAGAGTACCAGAAACACTCAGGGATAAGCAGAAAAAGGCAACAATGCACAACCCCAGAGGCCTTTGTGCCAGCCAGGACAGGAGTTAGTGCAGCTGGTGCCACAGTTCATTCTCATCCATAAAAACAACTGTGACAGAAAAGAAGGAAACAAAAAGGCAGATTCTGCTCTGGGCTGGAAAGCTGCCCTGGACTCAGTCACATCTCTAGCCCAGAGTGATGGAAGCAGAAGGTAACTGCAGGTGATGAATGTACAACATGTACCTTGGTTTTATTGAGATCTCTCCTCAACAGGGGGACGGTCTCTGCAGATATTTCTGGTTGCTTGGAGCTTTCCCATATCTCTTCCTCCTTTAAAGTGACACATTGGACCATTTATCCACATAACCCTCAAAGAAAGCATGACTAGGTTAAGCAGCAGGATAATAAACATTCCCAGATCACTGACATTAGTCAAGCACTGGACTGCTTGAGGAGGGGCCTGGAGGACACAATTCTGAGCAGGAATAATCACAATGAATTCAACATGCAACAGTTACCAATTGCGTGTTCAAATATAATTGTGAGCTTCAGGTCTTTGCTTGACTGAAGAAGGGGTTTTTTTAGACACATATGTGCTAAAATATTCTTCCCCATCGCCTCCAAGTCTGGGAGTTATTTTAAGTGGAGATCTAGACACTAAACCAGTCTTATTCTGTGCCACGAAGCTGGGTGGAGCTGTAGCACCGCTTAACACTGTGTCCTTTCAGGAGTCTGCAGTGCAATGCTAATACAGTCAGTAACGCCCAGAAACAAGAACACTTATTACCACCGTACTTCAGCTGAATACATACAGATATTAGTTCTACTTCAGCTGTGCAGCCCTCAGTGTGTCAGACACACCAACTCCAAACACTGTTATAGTTAAACCCATCTGCTCAACGTACGGTGCTTGTTGTGTTACTGAGCCGGGGATGGAGAGGGATGAAACCTCGGGCTGTACGGGGGCTGCCGTGGGATGGAGCCCCGGGCTATCCCGGGTTGTTGCGGGATGGAGCCCCGGGCTGTCCCGGGACGGAGCCCCGGACTGTGGAGGGACATAGCGGGATGGAGCCCCGGGCTGTCCCGGGCTGGAGCGCCGGGCTGTCCCGGGCCGTACCTTCTCCCCAGGTCGCCGCCCCGCCGAGCTCCGGTCGCCGAAGACAACAGCTCCAGAGGGTTCATCCTGGGTTTCCAGCTTCTCCTCGCTCAGCTCGGGCGGGATGAGGCTGAGCAGCGCGGCCAGCTCGCGGTTGGGCCGCAGGTCGCGGAGCTCGAAGCCCTCCCTGCAGAGCGGGCAGCCGGGCCCGGGCCGGCCCGCGCGGTACCGGCTGATGCAGCGCCGGCAGAAGCTGTGGCTGCAGCCCGCGATCCGCACCGGCTCCGAGAAGAACTGCAGGCACAAGGAGCACCTCAGCTCCACGGCGGCCAGGAGCCGCTCCAGCTCGATGGCAGCGGCCATGGCCCGGCCGGGGCAGAGCACAGAGGCCGCACGGTTTCGGTTTCCCCGGGAGCCTCCTCCGGGGACGGGAGCGCCGGGGCGGAGCGGGCTGGGCTGGGCTGGGCTCTGCCCTGTCTCCTCCTCTCCTCCGGTGTCAGCTCCGTCAGAGCTCCTGGGGCTCAGCCCAGCGCCAGTCAGCGCTTCCTCTGCTGCGACTCGTTCCCAGGATTCGGGTTGACTGTGGGAATGGGCTGTGATGCAGAGCTGTCCCGGGCCTGGCCTTGACTCATAGTGACTCTCCAAAAAAGTCCTTGTTATCGGCAGGGTTTCATTTTCACCGTGAATTTCCCGATTTTGCAGCAGTGAGTCGCTGACACGGGCAGTCTGCTGACCCAGCCGGGACAGCGAGGGCACAGCCCAGCCCAGCCCGGCAGAGCCCCGCCCGTGGGAAGCTCAGGCCACTGGATGCACTGAACCCTTCTGAGGTCATCCTGGGCTACTCAGGTCATCTCAAAATAACAATTAACACATGTCAAACCAAACGAAGACTGCCATTGTTCCTTGTACAAGTCAGAGGGTGCTTTCTATTGATTTCGGGAGCTGCAGGATTAGGCCGTTTAACAGATGTGCTGAACCAGCATGGGAACCAGACTGAATCAGGCTGCGTGGGGAGAGCAGGAGCACATCAGCAGGCAAAACTGCTGCAGATTGCTCAGAGCTGGCTGAGACAGCAGAGTGATAATCCAATTCAATTCTTTTGCACTGTTGGGGAGGGGGGAAGAGAAGAATTAATCTCACTCATTCCTGCAAGTATTGGCACTTCCTCATTTCTGCAGAAGAGAACTATTCTGAATGTCTCAGACGGGCTGGCAATAGTCAGCAAAAGGTGGAAGCCTCACCAGAAACTTGGTCTGCAGGACTTCCTCTTGATTTGCAAACTAAGGCTATCTGGAAAGAATTAAATATCTGAATGACGTGCTGCTTGGTAGAACCAGACCTCAGACTTGGTCTTGAGGAAACAGTATCAGTCAGGGCAAGTGTCCATCAGCTCCTTCACAGAGTGGACACAAGAAGTACTCACCCCCAACACTGAGAACTGGTCCCCATTCAGTGAGTGTACTCAAGCAAGCCACTGAAGACAACTCTTTTAAAACTAGTTTCTGCCTTTCAATGCTCAGACTAATCAAGCTCATTAAGCTTCATCTGGTTTTAGGCGAGACAGATCAGCACATGTTCATCCTGTACCCACAATGTGTTTGCTGGGGCACCGTGTGGGGTTGTGCTTAGGAAAAATTTCGTCTTCACGAGCTGGATTTGCCACTCATAAAAAAGCAAAACAGTGTAAAATGCTGAAAGCAAGAAGCTGGGAGTATCTGTGTGATTCCATTAGAGTGGTTCCATTACAGCATCCTCCACAATTCAAACTTGACTTGTATTTTTTTTATTGTGCCAGGGTAAGAGACATTCAACCCACTCTGCTGAAAACAATCCTGTCCCTGTGTGGACAGGAGCTGCAGCCAGATGGGATGTAGCTGCCTGACTCTGCTCCTCCCTGTGGACATCAGTTCTGGGAGATGACTCCGTCCAAGGCCTCAATCCACTCCTTCTGCTTCTCGTCGTTATCACATAAAAACACAAACTCTCTCCCTGGTGTGACCAGAATGATACTTGGTTTCCTCTTCTTCAGACGGATTCCCTTGGGCAGCTCAGGTCGTACTTCATACCCCTCATCCCTCCTTCCAATAAAAATCTGGCCCCGTGCAAACTCATCCTGAAAAGAAGGAAGCAGAAGACAGCCATTAACCAGTGGACAGCACAGCTCCAGCAGACACTGCTCTGTCCTTTGACATGGAATGGGATCTGGGGATGCAGGAGGGGCCACTGATTTGGTGACATCAGCAGGAAACACAACAGAGGTTGTTGGTAGGGACCCATCCTTACAGAGCTGGTTGGTGGGCGTTCAGAAGGAGCAGGGAAGGATATTCCCATGGCCAGAGCAGTGCCAGAAGGCAGGATGTTGGGCTGTTATTGGAATATTGCTCATCTTGCCTAAAGTTACAGGCACCAGGGCTGGGAGAGAGTGAGCATTAATGCTACAGGCAGTAGCAGCTACTTTTAAAAGACTTGGATCTTCCTCACAGCCATCAGACAGGCCAGAGCTCCAAACAGCTCAGAGGCATCCACTGACAAGGGAGATGGGCTCTTGAGGCTGAGCCTGCTCCAGTCTTGCACAGGCTCTGGAAGAACTGGATGAGAACAGACCCTTCCTCCCCACCCCTTCCCAAAGGGGATGTGGAACAGTGAAGAACACTCCTCTTACCAGCGGGTTTTTAAAGTACATCAGGTTCCTTTCTTGAGAATCCAGGCTGAACCAGCGTCCCTTAAAGGCCTCCTTGTGCTGCAAGGAGATGGTAGAAGTTCTTTGAAGACCAAGTCCCAGAGAGGAGTTTGGTCTGTTCGGATCCCTGGACTGCTTAAATGACTTGGAGCTTGAGTTCAGTTTCCTTCACCCCCAAGACTGGTTCAGGTGAGTCACTGCTGTGCCCTCAGCCCTCTTCTCCCTGGGTTCAAACTACACATTTGCATTCAATGACAATTCCTTGGGCAGGCAGGGAAGTTTGGTTCTACCAGTGATCAAATTAACAGGATTAAGGTGCAGGAAATGCATTGAAAGCTCTGCAGAGAACAATCAACTTCAACAGTTTGGTCAGGGGGTTGCCCCTAGAATTTCAGGGTGCACAATACTGGGGTTTGTCTATAAGTACTAATTCCATTCACTACACTCATCTGACCATTCCTGAGCTATTCACTGCTCTGTGCTGAACTGAGGAGGCCTCTTCTAGGGCTCACTTCAGTTTGGGCAGAATTGAGGCCTAAGGAGAAAAACACACAACCTTTCATGCTCTGTGCAAGAACCTGCAGAAGAGGTACTGGGGCACAGGCACGAGCTGGGCCAAACCCCAGCATTTTCAGCATCAGCACTGCACCCCCAAGCTTTATAATGGGACTTTGGCTCATGGCTCACTCAGAGCAGAGCAAGGCAAGAAGTGGCCGTGTTCAAACAAGACCTCAGACCTTTATCTCCTCCTTCAGCAGTGCCCCAAGCCCCGCTCTCCTATTCCAAGGAGTACTGGCCCAAATACTTTCCCACAATAAACCAAACCAAACCATTGGCTTCAGTGTGGAGAAATTTTCTCAGTGGCACTTTGCTGCCCTAAGCAGATGTGACTATAAGTGAAACAGAGAAGTAGGGGGGGGTCAGCATGTGATGTTCTGTTCTAGCAGGAGCTGCACTTGGCAGACATAGCAATCTATGGAGTGTTGTGCAACAGCACTTTGCATGTCCCACTGCCAGCTAATCCATCTTGCTTACTCTTCAAGGATTCGTCTTCCCGATCTCATTTTCCACACAAAATAAAACGTGATCCCAAAGAACATGGCAGGCTTGAATATAATGTCTTTTATCGACCCAGGAAGCAGACAGTCACTGAGCAAGCACTGTACAAGGCAACATCATAGAATTACCAAATACTCTCTACCTGGAATGATCCTGTTTGTGTACTGCCAAGTGTGCACTTACTTTTGGTCCTGTTTTCTCCATATATCCTTCTTTGACAAAATTTCTTGTGATCCTGGGTATGAGCTAGGAGAACACAAACACAAAAAAGTCTGTGTCTGTCCCAGCCAAAACCAGGACAGTATGTCTCATTCTAGACTGCTTTTCTGCTCTGTTTCTGCCAAAGTTAATCACCATCAATTGTGGCTTTTGGGGTCTGGGTTGTTTTTGGCTGCTCAGTAAAGGGAAGTCTGATGTAAGAAGGAACATAACACTTTTGAAAGATTGCACATCATAAGGGTCACATGGAGATTTTTAGGCCTTAAATGTTGACTAAGCTTTGGCATGTTATCCACTGTGGCCCTTCCTTCTACCTCTTCAGTCCATTCCCAAGACCCAAGTGCTGCTCTTTGAGCACCTGACTGGCAGAAGAAGTGAGAGCATGTTTTCCCATGCTGTGTTTGCCCAGCCTGCTTTGAGCCCTGCTCAGTTCTCACCTCGTGCTCAGGGACATTTGGGAAGGCTGTTCTGAGGTAATGGTAACGTGCTGCCCGGATAGCGTTGAACCAGTCAACAATCTCCTGGGGAAAACAGCAAACACGAACATAAAGGCAAGAATAACAAGGAGAGGAAGAGCAGTGCCTCTCCAGAATGCCTTTCTCCTTCCTTGTGACCTCTTTGCAAAGATGTGCTTTCTCCCCAAGGGGCAGAGAGACTCAACTGACTTGTCCCAGACACCTGAAAAGCACTGACCCTTCAAAATAACTTAAAAATGCCCCTCCTGGGGGGCCCTAGACTTTCTCAGCATGGACAGTCACCCATGCCTGTGCACACAGGCTTTTCAGTTGACTCAGTTATGGGTTGTTTAAAAACCTTTGCACCTGGAAAGACTATATTCTTCCAAGAATATAACCACAGAATTGTTTAAAACCATGAGGCAGTTACCTTCAGAGATTTACATCAGTGCACCACTGAAGCCTTAAGACTATCCAGGGTGTGAAGTTGAATATATGCCCCAAGAGAAGAGGAGCAAAGTGGTACAGTTATTATTGTCAAATTCTGCCATTTTCTATCTTCTACAAATCTTAGTGACTTCAAACAAAATCAGATCCTGCAGAAACAGGGTATCTATTCCAAAACCCAGATCCAACATCTAAGTATCTTGCTTGTTCCAAAATCTCCAGGATATTCACCTTTCCACTTTCGTGATAGACAAACAGGTTCCTTGTTTGCCCATCTGTGCTGTAGGTGATCTGCAGCCCATGGGAATGTCCTATTTTCCATTCCTGGAACATTGCATTCAGAGTCTCCACGCTGATAACAGCTTTGGGAACTGTGCTCTGCAGAATGAAAAGCATCACTGTAATAAAGTGCTCTCAGGGAAGGCAATGCAGGACACATCAGCTGTATGAGGACCAGATCCCTGCTGAAGGGAAAGCAGACATCCTGAAACATTTCAATATTGGATACACTGGAAACATAAAGCCTTAATTACATGCAACATAAAATGGCTTACAAAGAGTGATTCCCTTTCCTTGACAAAGGCTGGGTCACTATTTGAGGAGTGTGTCTGCATTGCAAGGGGTGGGTCTGTCTCCAGCCTTGTACTGGAGAACAGTTTGCTACTGTCTCCCACAGAAGGGACACATGTTGAGGATGATGCTGCAGGAGTTGATGAGAGAATATTTTGGTACTGTGAGAGGTAACAGCTGCTAATAGACCTCGTCTTTGTCTTGCTATTCAACTGCCAGTATCCTTTTCCTTTGTTCCCCAGGCAAAAGGAGGCTGTAGGGTTGAGATAAGGGATGAGGAAAGAGGCTGAATCCAAAAGATACCACACAGGGTAATGGGGAAACATTTGGACTCCTACAAGCACAAGCTGTCCTGGCTGCAAAACCAAGTTATTTATGCTGGTTTGTTGCCTGCAAAGAGCAGGGTCTGAGGATGGATGTTGACCTGCTGCTCTGGCTGAGGAACTCACTTCTTTGCCGTAGTACTTCATCACCCCTTCCCTTGCTGACAGGAGAAATTTCCTCTTGTGGAATTGTCTGCGTCCCTGCCCAAGCTTCCAGAGGAATCCTTCACGGTTCTCTGCAGAGCAGACCAAGAGAAGTGTCAGAGAGGGGTGGCACAAGAGCAGGACTGTTTAGCTAAAGGTGACATGGACCAGTTTCAAGTCTCTTCTCCACCTGAGAATTTTGACCTCACGTGAAAAAATCAGTGGAGAACTAGAGAACTGTAAGAGCTGAATATACCTTGCACTTGTCTAAGTGCCTTTTCTTAGCAGCCTCTTCTCAAAGTTAGACCTAGAGCAATGACTGCACATCCAGCAGTTCAAATGTGACAAGCCAACCTTGGAGACACTCAAAGTTGTGAACAGAACACTGTGCTGTAGGGCTGACACCTTCTCCCTGACAATCCTTTTACCTGCAGAACAAGGATCTTGGCAGACTCGGGTGGCAACAAATTCCTCACGCTCATATTTAGCTCTAATCCACTGCTCTCTTAAAACCCTGAAAGAGGAAAACATGGATAAAGCTGATCTGCCTCTACCCTATTTTCACCAGCCAGCCAGAGAGACCTGCAGAGGGAAGCAGTAGTTCAGCAGCTGTGAAGGTCTGAGCAGTGAATAACCATCAACTTACACACAGTCATCAGAGTGGGGGATGTAATAGTAGGGAGGGACTTTGGCCTCATATTTTGCTTTGGCACAGAGGTTCCCATGATTCTTCATAAACTGAAATACAAAAGAAGTTACAGTCAGGTGTGCAGCTACAAATCAACACCATGTCAGGAACTTGTATCAAAGAGAGCACTGTGCTTTTTTCTGAGTAACTCTCAGTGTGTCTCTACATACATTTATAAATTCCCTTTAGCACTGGAGTTTGCAAATTTTAGGTGGTTGAGCCTCTTTCAGTATTTACAGTTCTGGACCAAATGGGAAGGAATACAAGACTGTGGTTGTCAATTAAAAGAACAAAAGAAAATTAGGAGAAAATTTATTTCTGATCTCCCTGTTCCTTCATCTTGTCCCAGACACTAATTGTGATTATATTATTAACACAATTCAACTGAACGATGAGAGGCTGAACCAATATTTAAGAACGATCTGTTGCTTTCTGAATAGAAAACACTACCTGGAAATATCTGTGGGCTTCTGAACCACAGTGAGAAGTAACTGTGCATATAAAAATACACACCAGACTGTTAGAAACAGTCACCTATCAGTGCAATTGATTGAGCAGGTCATAAAAAAACCCCTAAAGTTACCCATGGAGTTAACTTGGTTCTGTGTGGCTTTGTTCCTTTGTCCATGGTGTATGGCACAGGCATTAGGAGGTAGAGGATGTTATGATGAAATGTGGAGAAAAGTAAGTGAATTACTGCTTTTTCCTCTGTACCTCTATAAGATCGTTCTCCCAGAAGTCCAGCACAAGGGATTTGACCCTGGTGATGCCAGGAAGATTGCGATGGATTCCAGAGCAATTCACACAAACCAGTATTCCAAGTTTGTAAGAAGCCCACTCTGGACCTAGATACAAACACAAAGAATGAATTAATACATGGAAAAAGGCACAGCCACTGGCAAGGGTGAAAAAGCACATCTGATGCACAGCCCAGGCTTCACATGTAATAAATACATCAAATCCCACCCCACTGTTTATGGCTGTCACTTCACTGTGTTCAGGGGAACAGCACCTGCTTTCCACAGTGAACAATGTGCATTTGTAGGTTCTTTTACTGACTGTTTGCTTTAAAAATTAACGTGACTCTGCAGGTGGGTGAGTGGTGATGGAAAAGCTCAGCGAATTATCAGTCCTGCACGAAAAGCTGATGTTGCTGAATTTACAATGGAAGGATGTTGTGGGCAGTCAGTACTACTGAGAACATCCCAGCACAACCACCTGCAGCGAGGGCTCGTGTCCAGTGCCCACGAGGGATTTTGCCCTTGCCTGCTGCTGCATCCCCGGAGTGGCCTCGACAGGTGCAGCCCAACAGGCATCGATGCTCTGGCAAGACCATTTCCTCGGTCTGCACCACCCTCCACTTCTCCCTTATCGCACCCAACAGAAGCCACTTGTCGCCTTCTTCCAGCTACAGTTGGCTCCCAGTGACCCGCCCGCCCGGGCTCTCCGGGGCTCCTCGGTGCCTTTCCCTGCCCCAACCCCCGAGCAGTGACACCCCCGGGCTGGAAACCCACCCCACGCACCCTCCTCCTCCTCCCGTGCCCCGTCCACGAGTGACCCGGGGAGGCGGCCGGTGCCGAGGCCATTTCCTGACCCCGCTGCCCTCCCCTCGCTCCCCGTCCCGGGGCAGTGTCCCCGCGAACAGCCCCGCGCGACCCTCCCGCTCCCTCCCCGCGGGACACGGAGCCGCGGGCCGGGCCGGGCAGCGCTGAGGGGGCGGCGGGACCCTCCCGAGCGCGGCCCTGCCCTCAGCGCCGGGCGCGGCCCCGTACCTGGCCGCCCGCAGTCGGCGCAGCGGTCGTTGCCGGTGCCGCTCGCCCTCTGCAGCTCCCGCAGCAGCGCCTTGCTGCGCTCGTGGTCCATCGCCGCCCGGGGCCGGCGCGGAGCGCTGAGGGAAATGAGGAACCGGCGCGGCCCCGGCCCGTCCTGCCCCACAGCCCCGGGCCCGGCGGGGCCGCCCCCTGCAGGGGGACCCGGGGGGCGACGCCTCCGGACCGGCCCCAAACGGCTCAGGAGATCTCACGCGGCTCAACACCGGGACAACGGAGCATCCCAGGACTACTGAAAATCCCATTTCCTACTGAAATTCCGACTGGATTCCTACGAGCTCCTCTTCCACGTTAAAGCCAACTCCAAAAAGGCTGTGACATAATAGTCACTTCAACCAAGAGAAAAACCTGAGGGAAAGATTTTCAAGGTTAATTAATTTCAGACATAGATGAAGGGGGATTCAAATATTTTTCATTTTACTAGTTTCAGGCTACACTTAATTTGTGTTGCTCATTTGCATTGCTAGAGTACACTGCAACACATGATGCCTCTTTAGTAAAGTTTATGTACAACCTTGTAAAAACACTGTAATTTTGTAGATGACTAAATACTGCACGTGTTAGCAGTTGAAAGTGCTGACACATTATACACTAAATACTACAGGTGTTACCAGTTGAAAGTTCTGACATGTTTTTTCCATCTTTTAGGTGCTAAGTAGCATTGCACCCTTTAATTAGTTTGTAACTATTGTGAAGCTGAGAAACAAATACCAGCAGAAAATCTGAAAAGTTGAGTTGTTCAACCACTTGCACAGAATCTCTTTTCAGCACTTACCCTATAGGAACTGGTGGGTACTGGAATATAAACAAGATTTCATTTTCCCCACATTCTTGCAAGCCACGCACCAATTTTTGTGGTGTCCTTACAATTCCTATGGAAGAAAAGAAAGAATCTGTATGATTTGCAAAGTGGTCATTTATATCATCTTTTACAAAGACTGAGGTAGTCTGCTTTTTTTCTCTGTTACTCATAGGATGGTAGAATAATGTCACCCTCATTTACATTCTGGAAAACAATATTGGAATGACAGTTAAGGGAAAGAAAAGCTTGGAACTCGACTGAGATTTCAACAAGAACAACGGGGTTGTTGCTTTTCTGGTTTTTTCAATTGCTGAACACCTACTAATAACTGCTGCTTAAAGGGGGGAGTCATTGTGAAACTCCAGGGTTGTTTTACTTCTGGTTTCACTGAATTCCACCCAAGACACACAAGGGAGCTCGAGGGGCAGTAGATCAAGGACTAAGCAGGGCCCAGACTGTTGCAGGAAACTATTTTGAATCAAAGGCAGATGAATTCCACAGTACAAGGATGGAGCTTCCAAGTGCCAGAACCAGCCCCAGGGCCCTTTTCCTCGAGCCCATCCCTCCTGGAAACTTGTTTTACTCCAGCATACAAAAGATGCTCATACCTGATGCATAAAAATCCAAAGCTGATAATTTACCAGAACTCAAATAAATCATTACATGCAGATCATCTTCATTCAGAGTAGCTCGAGGTGATTTGATGTGGTGAGGATCTGATCAAGAAGTGAAATACTTGAATTCCACCTCACCTTTTGGACACCACAGGAGATTCTGTAAACAACTTCTTAAGGCAGTTATTAAAACCTGAGAGTTGACTTCAAAAGGAGGTAAATTGTCTCCCACTGCTTTCTAATTTATAAAGCAGTGAACAGATTTGCTTCATTATTAAAAAAAAAAAGTGTATTTATTTATTTTTAAAAAAATGTACAGGAGGAGCATTGACCATCGATGCAACAAATCATCAACCCACTAAGATTTTAACAGCACCCACTTTGATTTTTGGATAATTCTGAACTGTGGAAAGAGGAAACTCTAAAGATTATCTACAATGTGAAAGCTTAAAATAATTTACTGTTTTCATAAATATTTCTTATTCCTGAATATCCTTAAGGCATGAAAAATATGGGAAGAGAATGTTCTAGGAAATGCCTTCCTTATTATTACAGAGACACTGAGGTAAGTGGAGCAGCACTGCATGGCAGGATCTGACTCAGTTTGAGGAACAGGAACAGTCCAACTGCAATATAAAGGCAGAAAAGTACATGGCTGAACTAATTCCAGTTTTAAAACCCTCTAAAAATCATCTCTATGGCCTGAAAACGTTTTATAAATCTTACTTTTCATACAACAGAAACATCCAAAGTTGTACCAAAGTCTCACAAATTTATTGTCGTACAAAACCAGAATCAATCCAAATAACCAGGCTGAAGTCTTGTCCAATACAAAAAGAAGCATAAAAATAGAACACAATATATAAGACTAGAAGTAGTTAAATATTCCTGAACCCACAGTAACACTGGAATAATTGTTATGTACAAAATCTTGCCTAAATCTCTGAGACCATCTTGAGCTACAGCAATAACTTCTCTACCTTTTTAGATTAACATGCAGATCTGACAGCTGTAAATGATGAAAGGAATATACAGATATATGTACATGGAGGCACTGAGTGCTTTGCAAAGACTTTGTTCCCTGTGGTTGTTGTGAGCAGTTGGGTTGAGTCATTCACACTTCAGAAGATTTGTTGCATCCTCTCCTGCCCCCTCCCACCCCGAGTTATTGAGCACTTCACTCCCATTCAGAAACAAACTGCTTTGAACAAAATGGTCTCCTTTGCTGTGGAAGTTGTGACACTTGGTTGCTACAAAAGGACTTCTTGCTGTCTGACACCCAAATTGAAGGATTCCCCATGGAATAGTCTGTGCATTTAATATTAGAAATGCACTTATTGGACCAGCACCAAACAAACCCACATTTCAGCCGTGGAGAGCAATAGCACGACAATAGATATATACATTATTTTAAATACTTATAAAAATTTAATATACAAATGGCTCTGAATATACAATAATGTGGTAAAAGAGATTTAAAAAAAAAAATAAACTATGGTGAGAATACCACCATTAGGCACAAAGTATTTCTGGTGTTAGCAATTCTAAGGGAAGTCCAAAGACAGACCATTTATAATTTGTCTGGGTATTTCGAGATGAATCCCTTCAAGATAATGCAAGAACCTGTAAAAAAAAAGAAAAGCAAAAGTGATTGTAAGGGAACAAAGTTAATTGCTGAATTAGGCAACACTTCTGTTATTTTGAGAGACAAATGCCCACCACCTTTCTTGTCTGGAATTGTTCTGACAAAGTATTTTATTAAAATCCGTAACTACCTTGAATATTGAAATGTAGGAAGATTTAGGAAACCCAAAACTTACCTTCTTTTAGTCTTCCCTTGCTCTTTAAGCTTCTCAGACCTACAGATCCCACGGAGCGTGGGGAGGTATTCCAGGATGCTGGCCTGCTTGTTCCCCAGGTTTAAAGGGCTTCTGGAAAACACAGTTCTGATGACAGCCAGCCTCTTCTGTGCCTTTCTGTGAATGCTGAAACACAGAATGAAGCTTTATTGGGTCTTGTTCAAGAATGTCCTGATTTTGTTTCTTTAGGATCAAATGTACTGGTTTAAAACTCTGTTAAACACATCCATGTCCAAAACTGCATCCCAAAGGATGAGATGTCTGCAACTCCTGGCCATGTGCTGCCTGGAATTCTGTTTGGTCTGCACCAACCAACACCTACCAGGACATTTAACACAGGTTCAACATCAGCAGGTGCTGGATGACAGATCTGCATGTCCAGCACTTGCAGAATCCATTTTAGTCCCTTTGTCTCTCTAGCAAAAGCCATTCCTTTAGGGGTTTGTTATTCTTTTAGGGTAGGGGTGGTGTTTGTCCATTTTTAAAGTAATTAGACTGAGGCTACCATTTCTGAGCAACATTATAGTCAGGCTATTCAAACAAGAAAAGTCACTTTTTGCAGATTAAGCAGTTAATTGAAGCTTATGAACCATATTCCAGTGTTTTGAGACATACTGACAACAGCCATAGTGGTATAAATGTGTACACATTAAATCTGAGACAGTCCTACTCCCTGTGAAATGCTTTTCTTGACAAAGAACTGCATTATATTCCAGGAATATTAGCAAAGCCTTACCTTGAGTCAGCTGACTCACTGAAGGACACACCATTCCTTGTGTTTGAGATATGCAAAGTCAGTCCCTCCAGCTGATCACTTGGAGGTGTTTTCCTGGTACTCAAAAAGGATTCCAAGTTTTGTGAAATATTAACAGAACACTTGTGAAAACTGAGTGCTTCAATAGCTGCCTTTGCTTCACTGGAGCTCTGGGAACTCCACCAATCAGTATTTTCTATACTGAATTCATCACAAAGACCATTTCTGATTTTGGCATTTGTCCAGTGAAATTCTTCCTCTCTGGAAAACTCCAGTGGTTCCTTGGTGTTGGTGCTTACACAGCAATCCAGGAAAGACATGTTTTCCACAAACTCAGTCAGTGAATTCAGACACTGAAAAACAAGAGCAGACCTTTCTTCATTTGCTGACGTTTTAGTTTTAACTCCTTTTTCTTCTCTGTTCACCAACAATTTTGATTCCTTTTTATTCATTTCAGCACATGATGCAGGACTATCCAGTGGCAAAGTTACGAATTCAGATGAATAGTTCAGTTCAGTATCAAATAAGTCACTGTCATCCAACACATCAAGCCTTTTCTGAGTCTTTGTCTTCTTAGACCTTTTTCCAGGGCTACTCTTCCCAGAGCAACTGTTGGTAGACCTGTTTTTTGAAGACACTGTGGTAGTCCTTTCAAATGTAGACTTAGAGGCTTCAGACTGGTTTGAAAGAACTTGCACTGGTAAGGGAAGGATAAGTTCAAGATTACTATATATAAAATCCACTTGCTTCATCTGGAATTCTGTGAGAAGCTGCATTAATTTATTCCATTCCTCCATGGTTGTGATTTTGTGCTGTAAAATAATAATCGTGAAAGATTTATTAATACATTAAAATATCATTCTTTTAAAAATAAAAATATTATTACAGAAAATCTCTCACTTCTGGTTTTGCATTTATGAGGTGAGAGACTGTTCTGTTGGCAGGAGACTGCCCCCATCCAGATTTTGCTTAATAACCACAGAACCCCCTAATTTCTACAACAAACCTTTGCAGAGATTTGCTTCTAAGAGGTCACTGTTCCTACTGCTGGTTACACTCAATTATCTGCCATCACCCAAAGTATTAATTAGGCAACTCCAAAAATACCTTAAGAAATGTAAACAAGTCTTCTGAAGGCAACAGGATGTTCCGAAGGCCAAGCAACGTCTCCACACAGCCTGTGTCACATTTTGGAAGCTCCTGCAGATGTGCATCATCACCTGGAGAAGAATCCACCTTGGAATCATCACGTTCAGAAGGAATTACATCACCTGCTTCACTTGTCTCCTCTCCTCCTGCACCAAGATAACAGGTTTGACTGGAACAGAAACAACTGCACCATGAAATCGATTTTTCACCTCTTTGCCTCAATTCCTTTTGTAAAGGAAACTGTAACTGTTGGCTCTTGCTGTGGTTCTGAACGAATGCAGAGACTGAAATGAGTCACTGCCACCCCAATTCCTTGCTGGCAGTGACACCAACCTGTCTGACCTCCCTGCTTTGCAAGTGACCTTTGAAGGGGGTTGTGCCTCACAGGTCTCACCCTGTTGGTCACTCACCCCCCCAAACCTGTTGAGGATTCTCTTCCTGAATCCTTTGGGATCAAGTTCTTACCCGTAAAACACCCAACCAGCCCTACCCAAATACTTAAGAGTCCTTCAAGAAGTTACCATTTATTTGTATGTGTCTGAGGATGGTTTGATTTAATCAAATTCATGTTTAGATGGAGAGTTTTTTAAAGATGAAATCAAATCAACCTACCATGATGTGCCAGGTGTTTCTCCTTCAAGCATCCCCCTCCACTTCTAACCCAAAACTGTAAGTAGAGGACACATTTTCGGATGTCACAGTTATTTGTGGTCAGCAGAGCAG